ATATGGATTTGGGATATAAAAACTCTATAAACTTTGTAGTGGGCTTTTAAACTTGAAGAGCAGTGCCTCCTGCTCGCCCTAATGTCATGGAATTACAAAGAAACCAAAAAAGTAATTTTTGCCACTAGAAGTTTGACTTTGGTGAAAATTGAACTTGAGGCAGTTTTAATGTGTGGGGTTCACTTACTGGCCCTAGGCAACCCCCAGGATGGATCTTCATCTACGTTGTCATTTGCCTGGTCCTCAAGTTCCAGAGCCTCATACCCATTGTTTAAGGGTCCCTGGGAAGGCAAAGGAGGCCAGCAGGGATTCATCTGTTGCCTCAACAAGGGACCTGTTTCCACTACCTCCAGTATCACCACAATCCACCCTGTGATTAAAGTTCTCTCTCTTGTTCCAGAGTGATGGTGTGGTCACCTATTGCCTCTATGCTTTTAACAGAGATACATTATGCTCCAATTATAAATCGAGGTTAACTGATCAGGTTAACTGATTTTTTTTTTTATGTATACCTGAAAAGATCTGTGTGACAATGCTAATATGCACATTCTAAGATATAGAACAATATTCAACAATAAGCGTAACATGACCTAAATCAGGAAAATTCTAATACAGTGCAGCATTAGATTTAGAATTCCTATTGTTGGTGGTAACCACATGAAAAAAATGTCCCACTACTGAGGTTTATTCTTTCCAAGCCATGGTGTATCTCTTCTATATCGTGATGAATGGTGATTAGAATTCTTTGTCCATTGTTTCGTATGCGGTCCAGCAGTCGACACAGGTGGTTGTGCTGCAGTAATTTTTTTCACCAGTGCAAGGTTCATTCCAGTGGTGGTGGGCAGCAAATCTTGACAGGATGTGTAGCTAGATTGCAGAAACTCATGGGTTGTGACAGAAGCCCCTAATTTGACTAAAAGCACAAATGCAGATGTTTGCTTATTTCTGTAGTGATGTTTTCTCTAAGTATGGAATCACAAATAGTTCTCATACATCCCTTTCCAACATGTATAAGCATAGGTTCAAGGATTTCATCAGGATGTATTTTGAACTGAGAAACATTTTGTTCACCCCAATGGTGTTACTTTCACAAATAAATCCCTGTTTTTCCCATGCAATGCATGCATCAACATTGACAGTCTGCTATTTGTTCCCATTTTGTTGGACCCATAATTTTGTGTTATATAGGATAGAGTATAATTCTATGGTGATTTAACCCCAGTGCAATGATGGGCTATGTGATATATACCGAAGCATTGCATATTGTTAAAACAAAAGTTTTACTTGTTGGTAGGGTCATAAGTGAAGATGCCACCAAGACTGAAATTTTCTTTCAAATTTATTTGCATTATTCCAGATTACTTTATGAATTTCAGTGGGCAAGATACCCCCATCGTCTTCCCTTAAAATTGCTGCTGCAGCAAGTTGTATCCTCAGTTGAGCTTGAATACAACTAAGAGGTATTCGTATGGGCTGCACCTAGAGTTCTCACTATTAATTGATGATCCTTTTCATCAATCCTTTCCCATTGAGGTAATATATCTGATGAGAGCAATTGGTTAGTTCCTGTGATCCAATTGGTATAAATCACTTGGCACTGACTTTATTTTGTTTCCTAGGACTTCAGCATTCATGCTCTTCAGTAATCCTAATGCTGTCCCCAGGATACCAGTCACATCTCTCCTTAATTGTTTTGGAGAGGTGAGGGTCACCGCATGCAACCATGATAACCATCCTATGTAAAACGTACTTAAGAATGGTGAATAAGCAGGTTTAATTGCAGAGATATTAATCTGCATTGATAGTTCCACTTATTTGAGGGACTGTGAAGGATTAAACAGCACTTTTTCTTGGCTTTTATATTTCATGGCACAAGGTCTAATTTTGAAATGTGTCGAAATAAGGTTTCAACAATCTTAACGGGAATCTTGCAGATTGTTACTTTCAAGTAAAACTGGTATGAAGAGGAGTTTTGTCAAAAGATAGAGGTGATCAAAAAAATTATTACTGTACCTAGACAAACTGTGTTCAATTTTTGTACTGAACTACAGTCATCCTCTACTCTGTACACTCCTTTTGTCACTCCATGACTAGGACTACCACATAGCAGAATACTAGGATGCTGTCGCAAGGAATTCAGATCAGGGTCAAGCTTGCTCACTCACAGCACTGACATGCAGCAAGTTGCATTAGTTGTAAACTGTGACCTGATGGGTCACATGCAACACATGGTATGAAAACAGAACCAATACCTTTAAGGAGATGTTTAACTCTACACTGTCCTCATGCTTTTGTTTTCCTTGTTGGTTTTCTGTGCAATAACTGATAAAGCCCCCGAAGTAAAAAAAAGATGTGTCAACTTCATGGATGATCAACTTTCTTGAGGCAAAACTGACTCTTCATGAACATATAGAAACATCCAAATCTTCCCGCATCAGGCAACCTAGAACACGCTTCCTTAGCTGCACAAGTGTGCTTTGAGTCACAAAGTCATAGAATGCCTGATGTGCAAAAGGATCTCCAGAGGTCATTGGGTCCAACCTCCCCTGCTCAAGCAGAGATAGTGCCCAAGGACCACAGTCACACCGCTTTTGAGTATCTCCAAGGAGGGAGATTCCATGACCACCCTGGGCAACCTCTGCCAGTGCTCAGTCACTCTCACAGCAAAAAAAGGTTTCCTGATGTTCAGAGGGAAGCTTTTAGCTTTGTTGCATTGTGCTTTGCGCCTGTTGTCACTGAGCATGCCTGACAAGAGCCTGGCTCAGTCTTTGCTCTATCCTCCCTTCAGGTATTGATATGCCCTTAAAAGTGATCCCCTCTGGAGTCTTCTCCAGGTTGAACAGCCTGGAGGCAGCACTTTCCACACCTCCTAATAGGAGAGATGCTGTAGTCCCTTCATCATCCTTGTGGACCTTTGCTGGATGCTCTCCAGTATGTCCACCTCTCTTGTGCTGGGGAACCCAAGACTGGAAAGAGTACTCCATGTGCAGCCTTCCCAGTGCTGAATGGGGGGACTTGGATCAGACCTGGAAAGCTGGCAGAGTAAGAAATGCCTTGAGATTACTTATTTGGAACAAAACAGTTCTGGACATGAAGGGTGAGGCCTGTGACTTTATACAAAAAATACAGCAAGGGAATTCTGCTTGATAGCAAGGTAGTCTAGTGAGATGAGCTATCTGAGTAGCTTTTGTTCCCTGAGGTGAGGGCTTCTCTGTTCTATGGGTAGTCCCTGAAAGCCCTGTGGTGTCACCGGAAAATCACTATGACATGTGTGACATCAATCATTGTGCCTTCTGGATGTGATTCCTGAAAGCTCTCTGACGTCGCCACAGAGTCATTGTGACACATGTGACATCAATCCTTGGTGGGGCAGCCCTGAAGGCCCAGAGTGCCTGCCCTCTTCCCATGGGAACAGACATCTGCAGTTGATCAGAGTATGGACTTCCATCCTGTTGGCTGCCTTCTAAGGGATAAAAAGATTTGCCGAGGGGCAATAGTGGCAGAGCGTGGGGAGCTGGTCCCAACTCCTGCACACACAGGCTCTGACTGCTGTTGTTGAGGGGCCAGGAACTGTTTTCCCAACTTCCCAATTCCTGCTTGCACATGTCAGAGAGGTCAGTCACCACCCTGCCCTGAGAGCTGTCACATGCAAAGACACCTCTGGTGTCACTCATCTGCCTCAGGATAGTCCTTGGTAGTTGTAGCAGCCCAAGCACAGCCCCGAGGCTGAGCGGGAGCTGCTTAGCGCTTGACTGGGGCAGCTTGGCTGCTTTCTGCAGACTGCATCTCCAGACTGTGTCTCCAGGGCAGGTCAGGAGCTTTGTGTCTCTTTGGTTTGCAGAGACAGATGGCAGAGGAGGTCTCACCACGAGACGGCACCTCTTCCCCTGCTGCCAGCACCAACCAGGTGCCCCAAGCTGCACCTCCACGTGGTTCTGAGTGCCCGATCTGCCTGGACACCATTAAGGACCAAGTCTCTGTGAGCTGGTGCAGACATACTTTCTGCTTTTCTTGCCTACTAGAATGGTCTTGCATCAGACCGGTTTGCCCAAATTGCCAGGAGCCTTTCCAGTACCTCTTCCGCAAGGTGGGAGACAATAGTTATGAGGTGTACTACATTAGGTTTGACGGGCCTAATCGAGCACAGAGAGTTCGTCGCAGCTCTGCAGGAAGGAGGCGGAATCATTCCACAGGCCGCCAGCAGCGCAGCTCTTCCAGCAGGGAGCGTGGCACTGGCCGTGCCAGGACCCGAGAGAGGGAACGAAGCAGGTCCCCGAGGCGGCACCACAGGAGCCACAGCAGGGGTCAGCACGCCCAGGACGACGACTCCTTGAGCAGCAGGAGCCGGCAGCAGAGTTGGGCTGAAGACACATCTACTGACACCTCTAGTGATGAGGACCACGCTGAAAGGCCTGAACAGGATGCCCCAGTCCGCTTGAGGAGGAGCGAGCGCCACCAGCGAGAAGGAGGGGGTTCCTCCCGGGAATCACAGGTGGCAAGGAGCCGATCCCAGAGGAGGTCCCGCAGTCCTCATAGGCGCAGGGACAGGTAGCACACCCTACCAAGAAGGGTAATGCTGTATGTGCTGCTACTAGTGCCATGAATTAGAAAGCTTCACACCAAAACTGCTCCTACTTCCAACTCAAAAATAAAGTCAAATACAACTGTCAAGCTTGAGGTCTAGCATCTATTCTCCATTTAAAAATGCATCCAAAAATCCAGAGACCTATGCAAGGCTGCCAAAGGTTGTGAGGATAACAAGCTAGAAGCTATAAGCTAGCAGAAATGCCTTGAGATGGTTTATTTCTAAAACAGAACATAGAGCTGGGCATGAACAGTGAGGCCTGTGACTTTATATGAAAAATACAGCAAGGGAATTCTGTTTGACAGGGAGACAGTCTAGTGAAATGAGCTATCTGGGAAGCTTTTGTTCCCTGAGGCCAGGGTTTGTGTGTTCTGTGGGTAGTCCCTGAAAGCACTGCGATGTCACCACAGTCATTGTGACATGTGTGACAATCTGTTTTGTGGTGTGGGGAAGTCCTGAAGGATCAGTGTGCCCACCCTCCTCCCGTGGGAACAGACATCTGCAGTTGAGGAGAGCATGGAACCCAATCCCATTGGCTGCCTTCTGAGAGCATAGAGAGGATTTGCAGGGTGGTGACAGTGGCAGGGCCTGGGTGCTGGTAGGAACCTGCCGCGTGCCCAGGCTCCAGATGCTGTTGCTGAGAGGCCAGGAACCTCATCCCTGCCTTCCCAATTCCTGCTTGCACATGTCAGAGAGGTCAGTCACCACCCTGCCCTGAGAGCTGTCACATGCAAAGACACCTCTGGTGTCACTCATCTGCCTCAGGATAGTCCTTGGTAGTTGTAGCAGCCCAAGCACAGCCCTGAGGCCGAGCGGGAGCTGCTTAGCGCTCGACTGGGGCAGCTTGGCTGCTTTCTGCAGACTGCATCTCCAGACTGTGTCTCCAGGGCAGGTCAGGAGCTTTGTGTCTCTTTGGTTTGCAGAGACAGATGGCAGAGGAGGTCTCACCACGAGACGGCACCTCTTCCCCTGCTGCCAGCACCAACCAGGTGCCCCAGGCTGCGCCTCCACATGACACAGAGAACCTAATGTGCCCGATCTGCCTGGACACCATTAAGGACCAAGTCTCTGTGAGCTGGTGCAGCCACTCTTTTTGCTTTCCTTGCATACTGCAATGGTCCCGCAACACAGCTGTGTGCCCGATCTGCAGGGAGCCTTTCCAATACCTCCTCCGCAAGGTGGGAGACAATAATTACGAGGTGTACTCCATAGGGCACTACATCACCTTCGTCAGGCCTAATCGAGCACAGAGAGTTCGTCGCCGCTCTGCAAGAAGGAGGCGGAATCGTTCCACAGGCCGCCAGCAGCGCAGCTCTTCCAGCAGGGAGCATGGCACTGGCCGTGCCAGGACCCGAGAGAGGGAACGAAGCAGGTCCCCGAGGCGGCACCACAGGAGCCACAGCAGGGGTCAGCACGCCCAGGACGACGACTCCTTGAGCAGCAGGAGCCGGCAGCAGAGTTGGGCTGAAGACACATCTACTGACACCTCTAGTGATGAGGACCACGCTGAAAGGCCTGAACAGGATGCCCCAGTCCGCTTGAGGAGGAGCGACCGGCATCAACAGAGACGCCAGGTTTCCTCCCGGGAGCCCCAGGCAACAAGAAGCCGATCCCGGCGGACATCCCACAGTCCTCATGGTCACAGGAACAGGTAGAACACCCTACCAAGAACAGTACTACTGTATGCCCTGCTATTAGTGCGATGAATTAGAATGCTTCACACCAAAACTTCTCCTACTAGTAATTTCAAAAATAAGTTCAAATCCAACCACCAAACTTGGGGCCAAGCATCCGAAAATGCACCTGAAAATCTAAAAAGACCCTTCAAGGCTGCTGAAGGTCATGAGCATAACAGGCTAGAAGCTTTAGTGTTGCTTTTCTCATCCTGTTCTATGTTGTACTCATCTATAAAAGCTTGTACTTAACATTTTGTATGGATGTGCCTTTTCTCCCTATATTGCATTTCCACACTATGGTAACTGAAGATGAAAGGAGAAACATCCTTTCTGTCCTGGTACCAACAACACAAGTGGGTTATTATATTAGATAACATCTTGTCCTTCCACATCATCCATTTTTTCACACTTTACTCCAAATTTCCCCAAAATAACTTCTCATCTTACCACTTTTCTCACAAGGTGGCAGTGATAACTGAAGCTGGTTTACAATCACTCTGCTTAATCACAAAGAGACTGCCTATGATGCCAATCCAAAACTAACACTGGCAGCAAGCCTCTGAGAAGCCTATTCTCTTGTTCTTTCTCCTTACAGACTTTAGAAGCACTCCCTAAAGGCTTTATAGAGAAATTTGTCCCCATGATACACTCTGTAAACAGTCTCACCTTTAAATGCCTGCAGTGGGAGTACATGCTTCAGACTCTTCAGACCCCATCCAAAGACTACCAAAGACATTGAAAAACAATGGTGGACCAAGAACACTGCTACTTTCAAGTAAGACTGGTGCAAAGAGGAGCTTTCTCAAATGACAGAGGTGATTTGAAAAATTAATTACTGGACCAAGACAAACTACTCAATTTTTGTATTGAACTACAGTCATCCTCTACTCTGTACACTCCTTGTGTCAGTCCGTGACTAGGACTGCCACAGAGCATTAAGGATTAGGAATTCCAATCAGGACAAAGCTGCCCACTTGCTCACTCACAGCACTGAAACGCATCAAATTGCATTGGTTGTGAATTGTTGACTGCTGCAGTCACTCCATCATCCAGAGTGATCTGCCTTTGTAAAGCCATGCTGTCTATCTTGGATCACCTCCTCGTCTTGTATGTGATTTAACACTGCTTGCATGAGGATCTGCAACATTATCTACCCAGGCATAGAGGTTAGGCTAACTGGTCTGTAATTCCCCGAGTCTTCCCTGCTTCCCTTTTTAAAAATAGAAGCGATGTTTCCTTTTTCTAATCATCAAGAATGTGGCCTCACTGCCACGACTTTTGACATATGATGGAGAACAGCTTGGCCACGACAGAGCTCAGTTGCCTCAGGACCCTGGAATGCATGTTGTCAGGCCCCATAGACTTGTGGTTGTTCAGTTTCATCAAGGGGTCCATAACCTGCCCTTTCTTTAGAGTGGGAGGGACTTCACTCCTCTGACTCACACCTAAAGGTTTCAGGAACTTGAGATGTGGGAAGCCTGACTCCCAGCCAGTGACAACTGAGGTGAAGAACTCATTGAGTACCTCAGCCTTCTCCATATCTCTTGTTAACAGTTCTCCTTTCTCATTTATATTAGTCCTTTATCTCCTTGGCCTTTCTCTTCTGATCTATGTCCTTACAGAATCTCTTCTTGTTATTCTTCGCATCGCTTACCACGTCCAGTTCCATCTGTGCCTTGGCTTCCTTTACCCTGTACCCACACGTCTGAACTGTATCCCAGTACACTCCCCAGTATGCTGTCACTGCTTCCACTGGCTGTGCATTTCCTTCTTTCTTCTCAGTTTGAGGAGCAGACCTTTGCTCAGCCATGCCCACTTCTGGCCTGCCTTGTGTATGTCCTACACATTGTGAGGGAAAGTTCTTGTGCTGAAACCTGGCCTTTAAGACTTGCCAGGTTTGGTCAGTCCCTCTGTCCTTAAGGACAGTTTCCCAAGGGATCTAATTCACCCAGTCTTTAAATATATTTAAATTTGCTCTTCCAACCTTCAGGATTCCAATTTTTTAAGGTTAGGCCTATGCTCCTGGAGATTATGAACTTCACCAAGGCATGGCCATTACAGCCTGGGCTGCCTCCAGACTTAACTTGTCTGATGAGCTCATCCACATCAGTGAGCACCGGGCCTCAGGCCCAGTAATGCTTCTCCTCAGTTGGTCTGCCCCACACCTAGACCAGGAAGCTATCCTATACCCACTCCAGGAGTGTCCTGGATTGCTTATAACCAGCTGCATTGCTTCCCCAGCAAATGCCCAGGTGGTTGAAATCCCTCATCAGGATGGGAGCTTGTGAGCAAGATGTGTCCTGTAGCCGAACCAAGGCGGCCTCGTCAACAGGCTCCCCTGATCAGGCAGCCTATAGTTACCTCCACCTCCAGGTGTCCTTTGTTGGTCCTGTCCTTGATTTTTACCCCAGGCTCTCAACCTGTCTGTGACTGTTTCTCAAACACAGCTCTTCAAAATCTAACCCTTTCCTTAACATAGAGTGCAACACTCAGCTGCAGTGTTCCAGTTGCCCCACCATGCTTCCATGATAGCAATTAGGTCATAGTTTTCTAACTGCATCATGGTTTTCAATTCCTCTTGCTTGTTACCCATGCTGCATGCATTGGTGTAGAGGTACTTCAGCTAGGCTGTCAACTTCTTCACCTTATTGTAGAAGGTCTCTCAGATTCCTTTGGGATGACTTATGGTACTTCCTAAAGTGTTGGTTCCTGCTTTCTCTGACACTCAGAACACCCCTTTCCCCTGTCAAATCCAGCTAATAAATTCTGTCAGTCCCAGAACACTCTTAACCCACTTATTCAGGTGCACCCCACCTGACACCTGGTGTCAACATGCCCAGGCTCTTGAAGGTGCATCCCACATGACAGAACCCAAAACCCTGAGGATAGCAGCAGCCATGCAGGCAGTCATTCATCTGATCCATTTTCTCCTTTGTCCTGGGTCCCAGGCTCCAGCTGGAAGGGCAGAGGACAATATTACTTGTGCTCCTGACCCTTTCAACTTCTTTCCAAGAGACATGAAGTCCCTTTGGATAGTTCTCAATCTCCTTGTTGCAGCCTAATTTGACCCTACACAAAATAGTAGTAGTGGATGTTAGTCCTCTGTTTTTAAAAGGCTTGGTAGCCTCTTTGTGATATCATGGATGTGGGCCCCCGGTAGGCAGCAAACATCTCTAGAGAGGTTATCCAGATGGCAAATAGCTGTTTCTGTGCCCCTCAGGGAGAAGTCTTCAATAACTAACACCCTTTGTGCTTTTTTTGGTGGCACTCGTTCTAATATGGGTGTCTGACTGTTCCTACTTTGTAGCATTGTCCTTTTCTTGGTCTTGACTACTTGTTGCAGAGTCCTCTCCTTCCAGTCCCAGAGCATCACATCTGTTATGTAGGGGCACATGGATAGCAAGGGGGTCACTTGTCCATCTACTCCAAGCAGAGGCGAGAGTCCAGTCTCACCTGTCTTTTGAGTCGGTCAGGCCTGCCAGCTCAGGCTTGAACAGTAACTTACTTTCCACTTCCAAGGACTCAAGGCAGGCCTGTCGCTCTGCCTGTGAGTACACAAAGCGATGAATCTCCCACTCAGATTCCCACATAGAACTTTGCCTGGTGAGCTCCTAATACAACACAGCAACCTGCTCTGAATGCTTATCCGTCTGGGCACACCTGCACGTGTGACACCCACATCTGCCTTCGGGGGGCTTCCAGATTCTGGGGTTCCCTGCAGGCGGGGGTCTCTGCCATTTTTGTTACACCATTTTTGTTACAGAAGGACGCTCCTCCTGGTTCCTCCCCGGTGAGGATACAGTGTCCCTCCCTGCCGCCCCGCATCCTGGTTATATCCTGGTTATACGCCCGCGCGCTCCTGGAGCCACTTAGCACTTCCTGCGCTTCCCCCTGGGATCGCACTCGCCCCGACAGCGCGTGTTCCTGGCGAGTTTCTCAGCTCCCGCCCGGGTGTCCCTGACCCGGGGAACCCCCAGCTCAGCTCGTTCTACAGCTCAGCCCCCAGACCTGACCGTACCGCCATCGCTGTCGCCGCTGTCGCCGCTGTCGCCGCTCGCCTCGCCGACGGAAGATTCCGGCGTCACCGGAATCTGCCGCGGTTGCCCCTGGCAACGCCCCGGGCACATCAGTCCCGCCTGCCAGAGCTGCCGGTTCCTGCGGGACCCTCAGCTCTTCACTGAATCACAGAATCACAGACTCTCCTGAGCTGGAAGGGACCCACAAAGACCATTAAGTCTGTCTCCTGGCCCTGCGCAGGACACCCCAAGAGTCACACCATGTGCCTGAGAGCGTTGTCCAAACGCTTCTTGAACTCTCTCAGGCTTGGTGCTGTGGCCACTTCCCTGGGGAGCCTGTTCCAGTGCCCAGCCACCCTGTGGGTGAAGAACATTTTCCTACTATCCAACGTAAACCTCCCCTGACTCAGATTCATGCTGCTCCCTAGAATCCCGTCACTGGTCATTGGAGACAAGAGATCAGTGCCTGCCCCTCCACTGACCCTCACGAGGAAGCTGCAGACAGCTGTGAGGGCTTCTCCAGGCTGAACAAGTGACCTCAGCTGTTCCTAGTATGACTTCTCCTCTAGACCCTTGCTTGGGTCTCCCTGAGTCCAGGAACCCCTTACCCAGTTTGGTCCTATACTCAGCCCCCAGAACTTACTGTAGCTACCTCTGCCGTCCCCACTGTTGCTGTGAGCCTCACTGACTGTCCCTAAGTCTTCCTCTAAACTTTTGAGATGCATCTTACACTTCTCAAGCTTTATGAGACATAACACAAGCAACGTTTATTCCCTTTTAAGACTCTAGCTTAAATGCCCATTGTTTATCCTCCTGAGAAGTTTTGCTTTCAAAATTCAGGAAACAGAGCTGAGCCTCATAGACTTGACCAGAATATCTTCCTTTAGACAAAACAAAAATGTAAAAAATACAAATCTTTCCCAATAATTCATCTCCTCTGATGTAGGACAAGGCTGGTGGCATGGAATGGCTGGTCCTGGTGATGGTCAGTGGAAGTGGTGGGTCCTGCAGCTTTTTCTACCACGAGGGACTTTGTGGCTGTGGGAACACTGTAGTGAGCTGTAAAAATTCAAAAGCAAAAGCCCACCAAGGATTTCACATGCATGTTTAACCATACGAATACTACTATGCTAATAATTCCTTAATGTTATTAATTTCTATTGCATTGATGAATAGAGGTCCCTACTAGCATGGCACTGTGAACAACACCTGAGCAGAAGAATTCACTACTTTAGTAAAGAAAGTATATTGCAAGAAAATGAAAAAGCAAGGAAACAGTGAGGGTATGTCATTCTGCCAGAGCGTCTGCCCAGCCGTTGCAAGGTGTTTTGTAGGTGCTGTGCTGTAAGTAAATGGATTACAAGAATAATTTAAAAGAAATTACTGTTCTTTCTCCTTCCTCCTGACCTCTTATCTCTCACAGACACAGACAGCTTTAGCAGAGAGATTCATTGCCTTTTCATACTAATGTTTTCAAATATTTTTTAATGTGTGTACATGAAATGCCAGAAGTTCCTTCTGTATCTAGCAATACTTCCTTTTTTCAAGTACTGGGTGCACATTAAAAGGACATTTAGATTATACCAATATACTTTTGTGTGGATTTTTTTTATTTTACCTCAGTTGGCAAACCATTTATCCACTGCTGGCACACACACAACTTCTGAAATCCTTTGCTCTCATATTTTTCTTAATTATCCTTCTTCATTGTCCTAGGGCTTCTCTTTGTGCAGCAAAAAGAAGGTGGCACTTCAAACCAATCTCAGCTGAACTTCTCTAATTTACTAGAAGTTGCTTAAACAGCTTCTCCCAATAAGGAGAAATTCTAGAATATTTTCCAGTAAGAAGTGTTGGAAAAGAGAGTTGTGGTGGTGACTAATAGGTATTATTCTCTCAGTGTTGAAATCCCTCTAGCGTGAGTGGTGAACCATGTCCCAGCCCGACTTCCAACTGCAAGTGTGGGTGCATGAACCATGTTTCTCAAAGCTCTTCTTGGCTTTGCTCTTCCTGGAGGCACTTTGGTTTCAAAGTTTGCCTTTAGTTTCATGGATTAAATATATCTGTCTCCACACGTCAAGAAAATTTTCCACCTGAGATCCAAAGTTTGGTTCCAGGGAAGAATAATGATGCAGGAGATCAGTGAGCATTTCTCACTGTCATTTGCAATGGAAGAAATAGCTCCTGTTTTTCCTTCTCCTTCCGCAACGCTCACTTTGTTTTGCCAACAGAACGATTTGCAAAGCTCTTGCAACATTGCAGGGAAGGCCAAACCAGTGTTTGTGGAGGGTGGCTCTCTTGCGTTCGGCTGCCGAATCTCCTGTCAGCTTCAAAGAGGTGAGGATTTTAACCACTGTGACTCCTCAGCCTGTGCGTGATTCAAGTTGTTTATCATCTAGACCATTCACAAACCTCCCACTGCTACTTCCCTTTCAGCAGTGGAAAATTCTTCCAAAAACTGAATTCTAAAAATGGGACAGAGTTTTGCTGTCTCTTTCACTTCATATGGCTTGTGGAATAGCACATCAGTGCTCCTATTTCTCAGATATAAGCTTAACATAACAGCGAGGAGACTTTAGCATTCTACCTTTACAATTTAGCTGCTGCTGAATCATTTCCACACAGAGATTTCAAACAAAATACTTATGCCTAGAATCCATGTACATTTTTCTTCTATTCATAAATCTGAATTGTATGATTTTGACATTCTTACATATGTATGCTTGTAAAAATCTGCTGATTTACACAGAACTGTACCACACTTCAACTCATGAAGAATCTTGTCTTCAAATTGAACCCAGCACTTAAAATTACACTACTTAAGTGTAATAATTAATACTTTGTTATGTTCTGCCACTGTGCTCTGCTCAGAAAGGTCTTTTCATTTGTCCAGAGAGAGATGAAACCGAACATGGGGCTTTCCTCTCCACGTTATTCCTCTTCTCCAAGTCTCCCTGAGCTGCCTTTGTTTCACAGTGCCTTTGCAGGCACTGTGGGGTTGCAAAGCTGTTAATTACCACAAGGAAAAGACCTTGGAACTCCCCCTAGGTGAAAGAAAACAGCATGCACACTGGCTGAATTAAGTTTCTGTTTTTCACAACAGTAGAAAATGGAAATCTGTTGCTTCACACACATGAGAAAGAATATATCATTGAAGTCTGTATGTCTGTGTGCAGATTCCTGCAGAAGTCTTTCACTTTTCATTGTTTTGTCTGGTTGAGCCCCCACTGACTTCACAGGGCCTGGAGCCAACATGAAGAAGAGCAGACACTGCACATTATAGCACAGTCATGCTCTGACCCGTCCAGCCCTTGCAACAACACATACTGAAAGCAGCTGGTTTGTGGAAAGGAGAGAGAACATTTATTTCTCTAACGGATTGCTTATTGCCCAAAAAGAATTGTAGAAAAAAACTGAGTATCTGAAAAAATCTAGAAAAAAACTGAGTATCTGAAAAAAACCCAGAACAACTAAAAGATCAAACGTATTTTAAAGCAAAGTGATGGTATGCTGAGTTCAGTCGATGGGTAAAGTAAAGGAGCTTCCCAGCACCATTGTGGGACATACTGGGGCTTTGTTTTAGTCGTACTCTGGATTTGCAAGCGAGACTTGGAATTTAGATTCCACTTTTGGTGAGAAACCCTTCTGCCCTTAAAAAATACAACAGATAACCTCTAGTGCATAATTTAATTTGATGAAGGCCAAGGGTGAGGAAGCAATTCAAAGCACAGAGATATGGAGATGAGTCCAGAGGAACCAGAGTTAAGTGACAGTGGAACAGATGCTTTCTGAAGGAAAAACAAGACCATCTCCTTCACCCCATTGCCCCAGAGGATGGACATCCAGGGGCAGAGATAAACCCCAGAACTCGGTCTCTAAACTCTTGGTGATACTCCCACCTTTGGATATCAAATTTCTCCATGTTTTTGGAGGAGTCTTTTCCTTTCTTTGTTACCACTCACTTTTCCCCTTCTCTTGTTACATCATTTGTTCTGTCTTACGTTATTTTCTTCAGCTAGAAGAATAAAAATCCCCGGTTTCAAGTAAGAAGTTTTATGTTGTTGCACAGGATGTTACCTTTGAGTAATGACCATGTAGCATTCCTTCACATCACAAAGTGGAGTGGGAAAATGCTGCCACCGACTTCTCATACATACTTGTTGTTTCTTTCTTTAGTGTCCCTGCCACCCTCTTCCTACCTCTTCCCCTACAGAAGCCAGATATACCACATTTTTTTTCGGAGTTGAGACACCCCTGCACCTGTACTATCCAACCTGCAAATGCCAAACTGGAACTGCACTGCTCACGCCTATCATGAAGGGGGTGTAATTAAAAAGGAACATGACCTCTCATCCCTGCAGCTGGCACTGACTGCAGCCTGTGAAATGTGGCTGGCATACTGATTTGAGCCTTGTGCTAAAATCTCATTAGTCCTGCTGACTATTTTCAACACCTTTTGGGAATGCTTCATTACCATGCAAACAGCAAGAGCTTGTTTGGAAAGCCTCATCCAGGATGCAGAAATGCATCTTTCATGAAACATGACTCCAGTTGCCAAGAGTAGAACTGACCACTGTTAACGCTCTGCAGCTCCTGTTGGAAAGTCTCTGTGTCATCCATCATCTTTTCTATTTAAGAATAAAAAAGACTTTTCTTCTCCAGTGACTTAGGATATATAGCATGGTAGATGCATTAGCTATTAACCAACTGATACTATTTTTTTCATTATTTTCACTGATTTTGGACTATTCTCCAACAGGCACAGAAATAAAAATACTTAATTGCTGCCTAATATTCATTGCTTAAGCAGTCATTATACATTCATTTGCTTTCACTATTTTCTCATTTAATGCAGTTCCCATTTCTTTTAGCCTCTTTTAAATAACAGGACATGAATGGTTTGACTGATGTTTGACTGATCATACAGCAAAGAAATGGGAACTACACAGTGCGTATGTGCTGCTCAGTCACAGCCAAGATCAATTACAAAATGTCATTCTAAATATCTTGATGGTAAAGAAACAGTAAAATCAGGTAAAATCTGAGAGTTTCTTTTTTATAGCAATTAATTTCCATACTTTGGCAAATTAAAAAGTACTTTAATATTATTTTCCTTTTCTCCCTCTGTTTCTAAATACAGTGCATGGCAGGTCTGAACTGCATCCTAAATGGCTTACACATACGTTTCTGGTGGTCCCCTGTAAAATCCTGCAAGCACTGTCCACTTCTGATTATCTCATCCATTTAATTCCTGCTCCTTTCACTGTTTTTTCTGTGTATGACCTTGTCTTTTCTTACAAAAATGTGATAACATAATGTATAGTCTATGAAAATGGCTTTTTTATTTTGCTTGGTTCTCTCTTGCATTTTTAACACTTTTTTTAAACAGCTTTTTTAACAGTTTTTACCCTGCCTTGAACATTCCTAATTTGTCTGTGCTCGTTACAACCCCAAAGGTCGTAACTCAGCGTCCATACAACCATCTGAAATGTCTTATCTACTATTACTTTTTAAAGAAGATTTTAGTTAGACTGGTCAAAATTTTCTTTTCAGACAAAGGGCTGTGATTTCCGCCAAAACTAGAGTCATGGGAATATCTGACTGCCTAGAAAACTTCCCATTTTTTTTTATACTGCTGGGAAAAGGTTGGTTTGAGGCTTTCAAGTCTTTTTTTTTTAGCAAAGGTAGATACTTGCATATTGATAAAGTCTTTTGTGACCGTGTCAACCGTACATTTGTACATTGGGAGGCTACAAGGATTATGATCAGCACTTCGTATGCATAATCCTTCTGCATTGCCTGGGGTAACTCCAGCACTAAACTCATTTAGCTCTTTTTTTTTTTTAAACAATGGTTTTCTACCTTGAGAATGAGGTCAAATTCAAATGCTTGAATCAAACATTCTCTGCAAGTTCTTAACCAAGCTGAGCATGGGTCCTTCAAGTTACAGAGAAACTTGTTCATGACAAGTTCATGAGCTTCTATAGAAAACTTTTAAACATTGTCAGCTTGGTTTAGAAATAAAAGCCAATCTCTCTCTCACCCTTCCCTGTACCAAATTTGCATACTTTGCTGTGATCTTACAGCACTGGCTATAAGAAAATAAGATTTTCCATGTTCTGCCATTGCTGCTCTCAGTGAGTCTTTGCAGTAATGCCAACATAACCAAACTTGTTTGGTTTTAGCCAGGTAAAAAAGTAGCCACTGATGTGCCTTTCAGCAAACATATTAGGTGAGACACAGTAGGACTCTGCATGACAAAGTTAGAAAAGAAAAAGACAAAACCTTTTTCCAGAAACCTGAAAAGTACTCTTTAAAAAGGAGTAGCTAGGGTGAAATTGGTTTCCACCTGAGGACTGGATACAAATACTATGATTTCTCTTTTATCCTCTTTATTTCAAGTTTCCAGAATTTGGTTAACTATAACAAACTGTCTTGTCATACACCTTAATTATTTTATTCTTTGTATATTTTTGTAATGTCTCTGCTTTCTTTATAAAGTATGCAAGTAAAAACATACCTTGGATCTTTATATTAACCCATCATGTTCACAGCCTCTGCAATTCACCTCAAGAGAGTGGGGATAACACTAGCATCATCCTTACATTTGTCAGCTGCTCAGAACAAATACTGTTTCTTCTCAGATTCATTATTGGCACCAGCAAGGATGCTTAGATTTTCTTAGTAGAGAATAACAAATCAGAGTACAGAATAAACTACATTTTCTTTTGCTTGTAAAACTGAAACAGACTTATTCTTTCCCATAAAACGAAAAAATACTATTTCCCTGTTCTACAAGGCTTTTTTTCTCACTACTGTGAAATTTTGTAAGCTGTTTTGACAGGACGAATACTGCTAAACAGAAATTGCTTAATGAATGCAAAGTGAGCTTGTCAAAGTAGCCAGATGAGGTATGAAATGACAACGAAATACTTGTCACCGCTTCTATTCACCCACATGGTCATTTAAAAAATTATCTCATTCAATCAATCCACTTACTTCGAGTCTTTGAGGTTTTATGTGCTTGTCATATTAAAAAAAAAGACTTTTCATAACTGTTAGCCATGAAAAGTAACAAAATTGAGAATACCACAGATCCACTGCATTCTCAAGTAACAAGAATATAATTGGGAACTCAGCTGCAAACAACTGGAATGGGTTTAGACCCCCAGCGTTACTGATGGAGTCATTTAAAGCCATGGGAGCTGCAAACATGGGATGGCAGCCAGGATTTGTTCTGAAAAACTTCTATTAATAGAAATGGGTTGTAAGAAGTTGGAAGAAACCAAACCTCAGGAGTAGAATCCACTGTAAAAGTTAAAATATTTAAATAATAGTAATTCTTCTATTCAAAACCTCATTTTGAATTCAGTAACAATAGATTTAGAGTAAATAAATCAGATATAAAAGGAAAATTACAGAAAGACAATGCCCCATTAAGTCATTTTTTCTTTTACCTTTCAGAGTGGAATGTATTTTATGTAATTTACAGAAAAAGATCCTGTTACTCCTTTGTTATTCACATGATTAAAATAGATGCCAAGGACTTATGGAAAGGCAAAGTATCTGACTGTTAAAATGAGAAAGTGTAACAGTGAATATTTACCATTAAAATGCTGGTTTTTTTGGAGAATAAAAACAATGGAAAGTCTTTTTTAACAGTGTAATTAATTTTGAGTGCTGAAGTGACATTCCTACTGGCTAAATTACTCTGTTTTGCTGTTCCATGGAAGCAGAGGTGCCTCTATTCATCCATACCATTATAGCTGCAGACTGGAGAGAACACAATACATGATGAACAGCCAGCACGATTTCAATTTTCCTTCACTTCATGGCATCTTCAGTGAGCTCAGCATAGCTGTGAATAAAAGAGCAAAGATGGTATTTTTCTGTACCTTAGCACTGCCTTTCATTTTCATTGTACCTGGTACCTCCTAAGCTTTTAACATATTTGATTCCTGGATCTACTTTCTTTCACAGTTCAGACTTGTTATGTGTAAGGATTTCAGTAATTTGACCAAAAATGTGGGGTTTAATTTTTTTAAATAAGAACAAAAGTTTGTATGGATACTCTGATTTTGATTTACAGGCTACCACTTTTTATAAATCAGTTAAAATTAGTAAAATGACAGGTTCAAGCTAAACCACAGTACGCAGCCCTTCAAACATGATAAAAGAATATTTTAGGGTTTTTTTAATTAAATTCTTCCCAACCAGATACATAGAGAAATGCTGAAGTCTCAAACCACTGAAAGGCTCCAAAAACTACCTTTTTCTTTTAAGTCAAAGCTTCCAAGTCAGTGTTTCTTAGGGTGCTGTATAAATGTTTCTGACTTCCTGTGCCATAAAAGCTTCCTTTCCTATCCCGTTTTTCTCCAAACTACTCAAGCCTGTGTTTCCCCAAGTTCATAGAGACTCAATGACAGATTTTAAGCCTGCTATCTTAGCAGTTACATTGCATTAGAAACAGAGGCAAACCTTTACAAACATGGTTTGTGTGAGACATGTTAGAATGGACTGGTTTTCACAAAGCAGAGGATCCATGGTTTGAAAATCCAGACTATGAAGAACCTTACTTTGGGCATCAAAAAAAAAAAAAAAGATACACAAGCTCTAATTACTTGCAGAGGGAAATGCCAACAAGTTTCTACTCAGCACAGAGGGATATATACAGTTCTCCAGTAGAGTAGAAAGCATTACCGAGAGGTAGTTTTAGGCATTATTATACATATTAATACCTTTTAAAATTACATGGGTTTGCAGGTATCTGTTTAATGTTGCTCTGAGCTACACCCAAAGCTTCAGAGACCAGAAGAGATCAACAACAGTAATAACAACATGTTTAACCTTTCAAAAAGATGTATACTTCAGTTTTTTCTCAGAAAAAGTAGAACACGTAGTGGATAGGATAAAAATTCAGCAGCAGTTTTCCAGGTAACCAGCACAATTCATGCATAACCTTGCCCCTTAAACTGATTTGATTCAATCATGTTGATAAAAACATTCATCGCTCCTTACTGGAATGCTCCTTAGAAATCTTAATTTTTTTAACTATAATTTCTTCCTGTTCTTTGAAGATGATGTAAAGTAATATCTTCCACCTTTAGGTCATTAGTGGGGTTTATGTCCTCATGTCCAAAGTGTGGGTTTGTCTTTTTTTATCATGCTTGCTAATACCAGTGATTTTGGAAGGAGTAGATTAGCATCTTAATAGGCAGGATGCAATACTGCAAAAACTTTAATGGCCTTGGTGGCTGTTTGTTTTCTCCTTCCAGTTTTTCATGTATTGCTCATATCAGATTCAGCATCTCCCCCAAGGTCAACCATCTGATCACATTTCCCAAGCAAACCCCACCTTAAGAGCTATTTCTGTTGTAAAAAGTGAGTCAGCAAAATTTCCTTTATTTAAATACCTCATAAGTAGTCACTCGCTTTCCAAGAAATTGTTCCTTTATTTTGTGGTTGAAGGAAGAGCTTCTCATTATACTTGCTCTGGAAACTTAGACAGAAAGAGAAAGGTGAGTTATTATTAGTTGTTCCCTGAAATTTTATTTCCAAAGCCAGTTGTTATAGAAGCCATTGAGTGAGAACACAAGGACCAGAGGATACAGGACCAGAGTTGACCCTCCTAGGAATTGCTCACCTCAAGGTGAACTGATAAACTGAACCTGTCTCAGTCATGGTTCTGTCCAGGTACTGTTTTTGACAGATCTACTGCCGACGCCTCCAGCCTGAACACCTGTTTGGTTTCCCACAATCTACCATATGAACTTCTACACATGTATCAACTACTCTGATGAAAAACGGAAGTTTTCAGACACACTGAAGTCAAAAAGACCAGGCTTGTTGTAACAGTTCAAAATGGCTCACAGAGCTTTACCGGGTTCATTCATTCATGGATCTGGAGGCAGCCAGATCTGCTTTGTTATGCCAACATTAAAACGCTTCTCCAAAGACAGGTTAGAAATGAGAATAGAAGATAGCACTTTGGATCATCCTCAAAAGGAAAATAAAAAATTATTGCCAAAAAAATTAGATCTCCCAGGAGTGTTCAACTAAGGTGTACTGTTTTTTTTTCATGTGAGTAACCTGCTGCAAAAGCAGACTTCGCAGCACAGGCAGCCGAGGCTGTGCGGGGTGCCGGGTCCCCCCACGGGGCACTCAGCCGACCCACGGCCGAGATCAGGGATATGCCGCAGAGTTCCAGGGCCACGCAGGGCGGCACTGCCGGGGCCCCGAGAGCCATCCCGGGCACCGACGCCCGGTCAGGCTCTGGTGCCGTCGCCCGGCCCGGGGCGGGCGCGACGGGGCTGGAGCGCTGCGGGCCGGCGGGTGCCCGGTGCGGACCCGCCGGG